TTTGTGAGTGCTTACCCAACCACACATCATGCATATACTTAACCGAGACAATCCTAATTCTAATGAATTGATAGTGCACACACTTTACATCAAAACCACTACAAACTGCTAAAACCACCTAATACTTATCCTGAAATTTATGCAAATGTGGGATACTCATCCATGTTATTAAATATAATATTCTTTTCATTATAATTCATGTAAACCATTACTTCATGGAACATGCACTACCATGCTTAAATAGAATAAACAAATGCACAAACCACCAAAGACAATGCAAACAAATTGTATTGTATTATACAAACAGCAATCCCCTATTATTTCAATGCTAAGCCCCAAAAAACAGTCCACAAGCATCAAACTAAACATCATGCATTATGAATATTAATTGCTCATCCAATAATACAATGTAAATGCTTCTCTAACCCCAAACCATTCATACTATTACCTGATTGAATCCTGATCTAAAGATTTAATATTGCAGACACTCTGCTTCAAAAACACTTCAAAGTGCTTACAAACACAGCAATGCTGCTAAACAAGACTATATACCTTAAAAAACTCAAAATCAAGTAAACAATCTTTAAAAAAACCCAAACTTTGTTTCTGAAAAATTTTAAAGTCATTTACTTTATATTCAATTCAAACCCTATCCACCACTTAAGCACACAAATACCACAATCATGCACAACAAAACCCTAAAAGTGAATCATATAAAACACCAATCCACTGATGACGTTTATTATCCACCAACTACCCCTGCTACACCCAAAACACAAAAAGAAAACAGAATTATAAAAAACCGACAAAGAATCCACAATTTGTTTGCACCCACTCCCCCACATTCCAAAATAGATGCACAAAAATTAAATTTTGTGCATCATATTTCAGAAACGTAGCAAACACATCCGAAACCCTACCGAAACACATGCAATCACTTTTTCAATTCAGAATATTCCAAAATCTTCAATTTCTCAAAAATTAAATATAAAACATTACCTGTTTCTTCAGGCGATGTCAATGGTGTCAGACTCTTATCGCCAACTTCTTTCTCTGTCGTAGCACTCCTCTCCGTTGCCATAGCCACCAGAATTCGAATTGGATTGTACAACTCGAAGAACCCTCTTAAAATTAGAGTGTGAAGTTTGCCTCTGCGTTTCTTACTCGAAAGTAGCACCAAAATAGGAATACTCGGCGGGATTCCTTTTTGGGGCGTGCACGTCTGCACTTTTCAATGCCAAAAATACCCCTTTTCTGCTGCTTCCCTTTTTTTAGATACATAATTTTAAACTTACCATGTGTAGCCCACCATTAATTAATAAATGATTAAACAATCACAGCCATTCATTCCTCCAAATCCAAGGGCTCTCCATCATTCTTATTTCTTTCACTAGGAGCCTTTCTCACCTGATCTCACCCCTACATATATATATATATATATATATATATGATTATCATAGGAATTGTATATGTATGCTTTAGTGGGGTGCCATGTTCTTAAAATTTAAAAGTTGTGTCTTCATGATGCAATTCAGCTCAAAACTGTTTCTTAGAGGAGAGATTGAGACAATGTGCAGGTGTGATATGGCAAGTCATTTATGCAGAATATATCATAAAATACAACCCAGAAAACTGCTCTTAGGTACCCCTATTTTGAGAAACTAACTACTAAGTACCTCACATTTTTAAAATATACTCCGAGGTACCCATCTATTTTGAGAAACTAAGTATCGGATACCTCAAATTTTTAAATTATACTCCAGGGTACCTCTAAATATACATTAACTTATCTGTGAGAGACATTCCGTCCCACTCTCTTTCAAAGCCAATTACGCCATTAATTTTTAGAAATAGGGGTTTGGAATTCTAAAAATAACCTTGGTTCTCTTACTTTAAGGATACAATTCATCCAATTTAATCAAAGCTTTTGAATGATACGGAATGTTCCTCACGGGTAAGTTAATATATATTTGGAGGTACCCTGGAGTATATTTTAAAATGTTAGTTACCCGACAGTTAATTTCTCAAAATAGAGGGTACCTCAAAGTATATTTTAAAAATATGAGGTACCGGACAGTTAGTTTTTTAAAATAGAGGGTACCCAGGTGCAGTTTTCAACTTTTGTGTGTTTATCTTTATAGAATCAAAATGGAAACATCGTGAAAGTGACCAATTCTGTTTATGAGGAATCCGGGTCAAAGATCAAAGAAGAGCAATTAATTAACTTGTTAGCAGGACTCATTGTGGGCGTGCTTGAAAGTACGCCTGCACTTTCTGCAGTGACAAAAAGGGTAGGTATTTTAGTGCATGTTTTATTGATAGTTTGCGGCTATATTTAGGCAAAGCAAATATGAATTTGTTTTGGTTTTTAACAATTATATTTCAGGAAATTTATGTGCCTAGACCACTACGAAATGGCGAGAGACATTGTGTGTTAATAATAAGCTACGAGGTGGGTGAAGAGGGCCAGTTGTATAGGGATTGCCGCAAATCAAGAGGAAAGGAGCATTGTGAGGGTGGATATATCAAAGTTGCGAGGGATGAAAACGAAGAAGCAACTTCTGTTTTTATTGAAATTTGGTCACCAATGGTAGTGTTCTAATTTGAATTATGAAAGTATTATTATTATTACTATTATTATTTAAATATATTGAAAAATATTTTAATCCTATTTGTAATATAGGATGTTAATGTTTTCAAGGGTGCATGCTAATTGATCAGATGGCTACTAGTTCAATTTGGATGGTAACTATATAATCTTCCAATTTTAAGGTCTTATATGGATTTTTCACTGGAAGAGAAGAGTAATCATCTCTGCTTAGAAGAGAAGAGTTACCATCCAAATTCAACCAGTAGCCACGTGCTTCTCACATCAATTACCGTGCTCCCTTCAAAACCTCAATGTCATATATTACAAATACGATTAAAATATTACTTTTCAATATATTTAAATAATAATAGTAATAATAATAATACTTTCTTTACTTAATTCAAATTAGAACACTACCGTTGGCAACCAAATTTCAGTAAAAACGGAAGTTTCTTCTCCATTTTCATCCCTTGCAACTTTAATATATCCACCCTCACAATGCTCCTTTCCTCTTGATTCGCGGCAATCCCAATACAGCTGGCCCTTTCCACCCACCCCATAGCTTATTATTAACACACAATGTCTCTCACCATTTCCTAGTGGTCCAGGCACATAAATTTCCTTAAATATAATTGTTAAAAACCACAAACAAATTCATATTTGTATTGCCTAAACACGGCCGCAAACTATCAATAAAACATACACTAAAATACCTACCCTTTTCGTCACTGCAGAAAGTGCAGGCGTACTTTCAAGCACGCCCACAATGTGTCCTTCTGCTAACAGGTTCATTAATTGCTCTTCTTTGATCTTTTACCCAAATTCCTCAAAAACAGAATTGGTCACTTTCACGATGTTTCCATTTTGATTCTATAAAGATAAACATACAAAGGTTGTATTTTATGATATATTCTGCATAAATGACAATGCATATCACACCTGCACAGTGTCTCAATCTCTCCTCTAAGAAACAGTTTTAAGCTGAAATGCATCATTAAGACACAGCTTTTAAATTTTAAAAAATGGCACCCCCCACTAAAGCAATACGTATACGATTCCTATGTTAATCATACATATACCATTCGTATTTCACCCACCTGTAGATTGTGTTTCAATCTCTCCTTCAACAAATGATTTCAAGCTGAAAGGCAACATTTAGGGAGCAGTGAAATCACTGCTTTTTGGGTTTAAAAAACATGACACTACTATTGAAGCAAAAGATTATATCACCAACTAACACTTTATGTATCATACACATGTGGCATCAATAACAGGAAGGGTATTAACAAGCATATACTAACTATCACACAGTGCACAGGCCCTTTGTTGGTTGGGTCTACTCAATTTACAAAATCTCAATTTCAAAACAAATTGCTGAGATTAAGCTTGGCTCAAGAAGTCAAACAAAGTAGTTGCTGGATTAAGGGGAAAATAAAAGAATATAGAAAAGGGTTATATGGCAATCAAAAGGCTCTTAAAGAGATGTTAAACAACGGCATCATCAGAAAAGAGTAAAAAAAATTAGGAGAGCACGATATACTATTTGTTTTCTTTTTACTGTAGTGATAAATTTACCTTCGATGTTCGACCTGTTCCCTAAATAAAACGGCAATCCTCATCTTTTGGTAATCCTTCTTCCTTTAGAAATTCATCCATCTTTCGCAAGCTTTTTAGAGAGTTGTCACCAAACTTATTTATGAGATGTTGTACGAAAAGAGACAATTGTGAACGCTCTTTCTGATTCATTTTAGCTTATGATCTCTTACTTTGGAGACGATAAAATTCCTCAATCTATACAAAGTTTGCATTATTAAAACCTCAAATGTTTGGCTGTATAAATCTAGTAACAATCACTACATTTATTGGAGGAATATAAAATCATGTTTTAAGGTCTAATTGGCAGTAATGCTAAAACAGGGTGGGTAAAAAATGTTTCGGACCCTATGATTATTCTTAAACATCAAGTGCTTTTTAGGCTATTTTGCACAAACAAGCTAGCTACAAATGATAGGCTTAGTAAGTTTATTCAAATGGTGCCTAATTGTCTTTTTTCTTGTCATAACATGGAGGACTCTCTTCACTTATTTTTACAACGCTCTTTTGCTGTTGAGGTCCACCAAACTATGAAGAGTGGATGGGAAGTAGATGTTGTGTTGTTTCAACGTCTGAAATGTTTGACAATTTGCAGTAGCTGAAGAAAAAGAAAAAGAGACAAAAATGGAATGCTCTCTATGATGTCAATCATGTCATACCATATGGTATTTGGAAGGTTAGAAACAAAAAGATGGATGAGATGAAGCAGTTCTTAACGAAAAGTCTACTAGAAGAAACAATTCTTAACAAGATTTAATCTTAAAAATAAGATATATTACTTGGGACAGTTGGGCGACGGCGACGGCGACGGCGACGTGAAGAACATGCCATGTCCTACAATGAAGTAAAATTGAGAGTTATAAACTGCAAAACAAAGGAGAATGTGTGATTTCATAATTCAAGCGAAATGTATGTTTCTATAAAAAAAAATAAAAAACCCATTTGAGATTTGAGAGTTATAATACAAATCCAAAGCATCATTATGAGGTTATTAAAGGAGCATTACTCCCATTATACTCATTCACTCTCCAATTTTTTAACACTCGAAGAATGGGTGCAAAGAAGAGCAACATGTATAATTCTAAACAAAGTTTTTTTATATTGAAAAAGTAGTTTTATTATTAAAAAGAAGAAAAGAAAGCCACTCCTACACACACACTCAAAAATAGATAAAATAGCAAAACTCACTTAGTCCAAATGACTCCATAAACAGAGTCAGCCTTAAGTTAACAAGCAACAATCCCTTAGTGATTTTCCTCAACCCCACAAGTCAATCTATTCTAAGCTAGATCACGAATAGTCATGTATATCTAATCCTCAAGTAATATGGTCCATGCTGCAGTTGTTTCACCCTTTATCAGTACATATTCGGCGAGAACACTAATAGCACAACATAGATAAAAAGTGTGGTTTTTGTACAGTATGGAAGACTCTTGAGAACACTAAAACGGAACTTAAATTTACAGATTTAGATGCAACATTTAAATTTACATCTAATTTAAAAGAAATCAATCCATAAATTTGTGAAAGAATCTTAGAACAACATGTAAGTACTTTATACACTCCCATAATAAGCACAGAATCTGAAACTAGTATGTAAAACAATGTTTTAATTTAGTGTAATGGATTAACAATTCCAGGCTTTAACAGCACTTTCAAGTCTCAATAAAGCTACATAAGCTTCAAAGTAAAAAATGTACAAGCACCCACTAATTAAGGTACCTGTGTGTCCTCCCCCGCCCCCGCCTGGAGTGCTTGGTCTGGGCCACATTCATATACGGAGTAGCATATTAGCATGTGAGTTCCAGAAGAGATTCAATGTTTTATGAAAAAAGAAGACTTGTTAAATTACCTGCTCTCTCTCTCTCTCTCTCAATATGCTAACTTCAATTTCACCGTCGTCCGAACAAAACCAGACTTCAGCCTGATAAATTTTGGATTCTCCGGTATTTTGATATTTAGCCAGGAAGGTTGTGAGGAAAACATCACTTGATCTATAATTTGACTTGATAACCTTCTCAAGTGTGATACTCTTGTTCTGCATCAGGACTTTTGATGTTAAAAAGAAATTCCAAAGCTGGAACCATTGAAATCAAAATTATAGAAGTTAACCTGTTTTTCATTCTCTTTGGAAATCGCATAGTTGAGGGAGAAAATGCATCCAAATATGTAATATAATAACGTGTAAAGGTATTTGAGATCAAACTCGACCTTTAGCACGCCAACATGACATTTATAGTTACCCGGAAAAGTCTGGATATCAAACCCCTATAATACAAAATCAAAATCAAGAATTTTAGTGTTATCTAACACGAAAACTGTTAGAATTAGGTTAGATTACATTAAATTACCTCGCTTTTCGTAAACTCTTCTTTAAACTTGTTGTTCGTTTCTTCAATTTCATCAGCTTTGATTTCAACCCTAGATTTCTTAGGTGGAGACTGAGAGGGAAGAGATTGGCATTAGCCAAAATCCATAGCATGACGAAAAGTTCGGATATCAAACCCCAATCATCCAAAATCAAAATCGAGAATTTACTTGTAATTCAAAACTAGTTTAGATTAAATAAAATTACCTCGCTTTTGGTAAACTCTTCTTTAAACTTGTCCGCAGTCCTCTCCAAATTCATCAACTTCCATTTCAACCCTAGGTTTTTTAGGTGGAGGCGGATGGGGAAGTGCAAGATGTTCGCCAGAATCCATAGCTGATCGTCGTTTATCACCACTAGCCCTAAAACTGCATAAAGCAATTCTCCCTTACTCCCCACGGCCTAATTTATTTAGAGGGATGCTACAAACCTAAAAGACAAGTGCTAGGAACGTACACCACATACCACATGTACACCAACCTCAAAATTATACATGTACGGTATCTAGGGGTGTAAATGAATTGAACTGGAGCGAATATCAATATATTTGAATTTGTATTTGTTAATTTTTCAAATACGAATTCAAATCTGAATATAAGATGAATTAAAAATAAGATTTGAATTTATATTTGATTAATATTCGAATACTTAACGAATCCTAAACGAATTTTTTAATAATTATACATCATAATTTATATGATGAATCAACATAGATTTTGAATAATTTAACTTACGATACTTCTTATACTATATCTAAAAACATTAATTCATTTTCACCTTACACAAATTATATTTTATAAAATATACTTATTAAAATTCATATGTTTTAGATTTTCGTATTACCTTAATTTGTTGAATTCTAGTTTAGTAATATAATTCATTTTAATACTATATTAGTTTGCTTGACTATTGATGTTGAAACATAGTTTGTGTGTATATACATATATTCGAATATCACCCGAATCGAATATACTCCTATTTGTATTTGTATTTGTATTTGTTAGATTTCCGCCTTTGCTCCTATCTCTTCTTCTTCTTTTTCTCACGATCTTTGTTCTATATTCCCATCATATGCTTTTGTCATTTTTGTAAATAATTTTCATAAATATATTCATAGATCTACTATGGGATATGATCTATATTTTTCAATAATATTTGTTTTTTTCGCGTTATTGAAATAGATCTACTATGGGATACGATAATATTCATGTTTTGGATGGTTTGACAGTACGTGGTCATTGGCATGGATCCCTTGACAGTAGTACGGAACTGATGTTCCAATTGCATGGTCCGAGCGGATTTATTGTCGTGGAAGAGATCATGAATAACCCGCCAAAGTTCAGAAACCGTCGAGGTAGAGGAGATAACCAAGTCAGAGACTTCATCGGTCACAGTGGAGAGGATTCATCCCTAAAGCAAAACGTCAAGTTGAAACCATTCATCGTCATCGGCAGAAGATGGAATCTTTGATCCAGAGAGAAAACTATAGAGATTGAACCGGCAAACATGAAGCAAGAAGAGTCGACTCCATTGTTTATAGTTGGGTTGAAAAAAGCTCAATTGAATAGGGACATGAAGCTTTACATTAGATATAGCACTGAACGCCAGATGAGGAGGATTTAAGGGAGAGGACGAGGTAGATTTTTCTGTAGTTTTGTCAGCGGAATACATGGCGAAAAGGAACATAGAGAGAGAGGGGGTCGGCTGGTTCGGCTGGTGAGGGCAGAGCCGACAGAGAGAGAGAGCCGAGAGTAGGGGAGAGCCGAGGAGGAAGAAATGGCAGAGATGGGGGGTGAGGAGATGCCACGGAGACGGAGCTAAGGTTAGGAAAGAGGTTTTGATACCATGAAAAATGAATATTTTTCAATTGATTAAACGTATAGACGTACCACCGTATTTATATACCAGGCTAGTCTCCTAATAATGGTTGGAGTACATGATAGAAAATCTATACAAAAGGTAACTACCAATAATACAATGATATGATAATAAATACATTAAATATATTTAATATAAATATATACTAAATATATTTAATACCTTTATTAAATATGTTTTGATTTATTGTTGAAAATTGTCGGTGTTTCTTCGAAGATCTATACGTTTTATTTTATATATTTTTTGCATCGGAAAAGGTCCATATTTTTTTTTGCGAACGGATCTATTGTTTTTGGTGTTACTGAGGATGATCTCCGATGATAGACCTTTTTTAAATATGTATTGATTTTTTTTAATTTTATGGTGTTTCTTCGAAGATCTATATGTTTTTACTGCATGATCAGAATTCATTTTTTTGGTAAAATTTTTTATATGTGTTTCTTGCTTTTTAATTCACTCTAGCGGAAAATATTCGAGAACACCGCCGCATTGCTTCTTCGATCTAGTATTTATTTTAGTAATTGGCTTTAAGGCTTTTTTACTCCCGGTCTTTTACTTGATCTCTAATTTAATCGTTCCCATCTTTTACTAACTTTACTTAAATTTATCTTAAAATACTTGAAATTGTTCTTTGGAATGTTTTATTTAATACTTTTAGCCATCACGTTATTTTAAGAAAACTTGGATCAATTATTATGTTTGACATTTAGGGGTTTTTTAAATAAAAAATAAGCACAATATACATCTAATTATCTTTCACGAATTGCTAAATAGTCTATCAGTTTAAAAATTTATCACATTTGAAGAGCTCTTCTCCTCAACCTAAAACAATGAATTTATAGATGTATTCGGATCTGTAATTATTTTAATGAAAATAAATTTTTACTATTTTTTAAATATGAATATCTTCGAATATGTTATGCATGTTTCATCTTCTTCCCCTAATCTTATAAAACTACGACACTTATACTTTTTCATGTTTTTAAAATCATTTTTCTAATGAGTATGAAAGTATTAATTTGAAGATATTAACAATTTCGTATTATTTATCTGTTTGATCTATTTGCTTTTTTCATCTATAAAATCACTCAAAAATGATTAATTTATATCATCTGCATTAGCATAAAATCTTTAATATCATTTGTAACATCATGTCTTATTTTTATTGTTTTTTACTGTGTCATCATGCCTCATTTTTTGTCTATCCATGAATCTATTGAATTCAATCTATAGTAAATGGTATTGGAGAAAAAGGTTAGAGGGTTGTTTATCAACAAAAAAGAAGAATAGTAGATAATGCATAGAAGATGAATAACTTTCAAATATCAAGGAATGTGCTTACAAACTTGCAATTGTAATGAATTTTGAAAAGCAATATTTTGGTCTTTTTATACTATGAACTTAGCACTATAGCATATGGGTGATAGGTCGGCTTTGGGCTGGAAAGGGCACACTAATCAATTCATTTTTCATGATTCTCAATTATCTGCCTCTAATGACATGTTGAAAAGTTGAATGGAACCATTAGTGCACGAGTTCCAAAATAATTTGTAGAATGTATTCATTAAATGTGAATGTACATAAAGGTAATTGTCAATTTAAATGGAAAAGAAGATATGGAGAATCCTTCAAAAAATTTCAATTACCAAGTAATGTAGTATATAATATGGGTTAACCAACTCGTCACATTAAATAATTGGATTTGTAAAATCTACTTTTCCATTGGATCAGACATAAAGCAAGCATTGAGCCACGTTTTGCCTTTATCGAGTCTCGAAAAATATAAAGTAAGCATGAAGAAGTGTTCCAAGGTTTTGATTTTTTGATTATCCATAAAATAAATCAATATGTACGTGACTCAAAGTGATTGATTAATCTGGAATGAGACATAAAATGATTGATTAATGTTAAAAATAGACATTTCATTAAATGCAGTGGCATAACCCACACAGACTTATACGCCGACAGCTTGCAATGACAACTTGCAAAGTTTTAGAATTAGTCCATCTTCACCAGCCCAAATGCAGTGGCTTGGCCCAAAAAAATGGGCGGGAACATTGTTAATTTAAGCCTCACACCTTTATATAGATTAAAGGATATGTATTCAACCACGATTCTAAAAGATTTCAATAGGTTGTTTAAAGTATATGGATTATGTAAAATATATAGAGTGTTTTAAGTCTTTACAGAGTTTGGTAGATTTTAATATATTTTATCAACATGATTTTATAGGATTTTGTCAGATTGTTTATATTTCATAGACTATTTATACATAAATATAAACTATTTTATAAATATATACATTGTTCTAATATCAACTGTTGTAACTAGCTATTAACAAATTTGTTGGTTTAAAAAAAATTGTTTATGAAATCAATTAAAAAATTAAACATAACAAAATAAAATAAAAATATTTTTTTTAAAAAAATAATTATTATTGTAATATATTTATTAAAATAAAATTATACTCTGTATAATGTTCTTTGTCATAAGTACTCCGTAATAAATATGTTTTTCAAATAAAATCATTATTATCTCTCAAGTATTCTTCTTCTATGTCAAAACTCATTAATGAAAATCTAAAGAAAACACAAAAGAAGACATTTTCCAAAATCTAAAAATTATTTAAAAAATAAAATTAGTAAACAACATAGTCTTTCGTTCTAACCTCAATATCACCAAAACCTTCTTTTTTGGAGAATTTATTTCAATCTGAATCAAGTTCATAAAATTTTAATTTTTAATTCAATTTTAAATTCTATAATAAGTCAATCAAACCAAATCAAGTACTCCGTATAAAACTTATTCATATTAGAACGAACTAGGGAAGAGGCCCTCCTGAAGCTGGCCGAAATTGTTTTCTGCCGTTTTAGGGTTTGTGAGGTAAACGATGGCGACGAACCTCGGCCAGGCAATAGAAAGCAAGGTAGTTTTATTTGATGTAATATAATTTTGTTCTAGATTCCAAGTAAATTATCGATTTTGATTTTGGGTGATTGGAGTTTGATATCCAAAGTTTTCATCAGGCTATGGGTTTTGGCGAATGCCTTTCTTCTCCCTTGCCGCCTCCACCTAAAAAAGCTAGGGTTGAAAACGAAGCTGATGAATTGGAAGTAGCCTACAAGAAGTTCGCAGAAGAGTTTGA